AGGCCGCTCAGGTTTCGGACTGCCAACGTCAAACGGCATCTAAGCCAAATGAAGTACCCACAATGCACGAGAGCCTTTAGCTCACTCTCTTGATATCTTCTCAATATATAAATATTTTCTAATGTCGCCATGGAGCACTGTATACCTAATCAAGTCCGCTCCCAATATCTGGCGACGTATCTCAAAGATACGGCTCACCGCAAACGGTTCGGGTGAAGCAATGAAATGAAATGAAAGGCCGCCGTCACTTGTGAGCCCCGTAAAACGACTAGGCTGACCAAACTTGACTTTGAGCCGCCGAGTGGTGCGTCAAGAGATCCTCTTGTCCACTGGCCACGTATACGTGTATCTTTTCAGCGGCATTTCGCAACACTTGTCCCACTGACAGCCGGCAAATTGTTTGAGGCCTCCAAATCCAAATCCGCATGCGAGTCAAAGACCACAACTAGTTGCGTCTCGCACTCGCAAATATCGCACACTCATCCAGGGGGGTTCCCCAAGTGTTGGCGGTCGATGGACGAAAAGGACAGCTTCCGTCAGCGGTTGACTTTCGAAACTAAAAAGAGTTTAAGATGAGATATAAGGTGTCAGTTCATGTTATGCAGCTCACCATTCTCTAATTTACGAGTTAGCCACTTATTTTACCCAACAATATCTTATGGGGATGGGGATGTACTTAATGTTAAGCCGGATTGCACCCATGGCAAGGATATGAGCTGAGGATCAGAAATGTTAGATTAGATTTCACTTCCAAGCACCTTTTCTTTCAAAATTTACCGCCAGCGATTTTTGCCTGTAATTCCTTTCGAAAAACTAAAATACTCAAGTCAAAGTGCTGCAGAGCAGTCTGACTCTCCTCCCGTCGCCTCGTTTCTGGAACTGGCATTGACTTTGTTTTCTGCCTCGCAGTCATTAATCAAAATCGAGAAATCATTAGGTCTGCGTTTAGGCCACGAGGTGTCAACTTGGCCATTGTAGTTGCTGTTCTGGGCCTTGTAATTGAATTGTGAACAGGGGTGTGTGGATGGGGGAGTGGAGAGGGGCTGTCAGATTGCCTTTCGGTGGGGCAGAGGCAGACTTCACCCAAAAAAGTGTGAAACATGCTGCGAAAGAAATCGAGAGAAAAAAAATCAAAATTAAAGGAAATAGCCGCGAGTCAAAAGGCAAGAAGAAGAAACAGAAGGAGGAGAGAAAGAAAAACCCAAAAACCGAAACGAAACTGGGCAAAGAATGGGCTTGCTTGGTTTTTGGGTTTTTTAAGTAAATTAAGCAGAACTTCTTTTTGTGGTCCCTATCCAGGCGGCGAAACAAAAGTTGATCTCATGATTTCTCAAAATCCGACCAAGCCCGAATCCATTATATTAACCACGCTCTGAATGCTTAGTTAGAAGAAATGATTCTGATAAGTCACTATTCTGTTCGAATGCTTCAAATTCAAAATCAAAATCATTTTACTTATTTCCCAATCTCGATACCGAAACAACGCCAAGATGTTCCATTGCTGAGCTGGCTAATAATCAAATGCCGAGTGTAGTAAGAAACCATCGCATGGAAGCCTTTTGTATTTTGCCGACTGGCCGCGGTAATAACCATAATTTCGTGGCGCGACCAAAAAGAGTTTGTCGCCTTTCGTCGGGTGGACGGCGAACCGAGGCGAATTGCCAGCATTTGGCCAACGTTGGCTTTTGCTTGGCCAAAATAACAGCTTCGAAAAACAGGAAAAAATGCCCAAAGCGTTGCAGATTGCATTCGCTGCGCAGACTGGAGAGTCGGAGGCGATCATCATGACCAAGGAAATGATGATGATGAAATGATGATGATGATGAACAACAATGCCCTTCTGCATTAATAATACATTTTAGGCACTCGGCTAGCTTTTAGTGTGGCCCAAACACTAGCCTACATTGGTTGATAGTGAGAGGACTGCAGACTGTTTTTATTAAGAATTATGATGCTAATTGAAACACTTCGTGGGTGTAAAAACACTCACTAAAAACACTGCCCTGATGCCCAAAAACATATTGAAGATTTCAGTTTCTGGGAATCTTGAACCACTGTTGTTGTTGTCCTCACCTGTCGCTCCTCTTCTACCTGATCTGCCCGTTTCATGCACACCGAATCTCACCATCTCACTCCCCCTCGTGGGCAAGAGCAGGTCTATTAGGGTGATTGCCTCTCAGTTCGTTTTTTTGTTGCTTCGTTGCTTTTCTGTTTCACCAGGCTTTCGGCCAAGACGATGATGCGGTTCTCGGGCCAACTGCATCATTAAATTATTATTGCGGGCAGCTATTTTCCAGAGAGCTGCAAAAGCCACAAAAATTGGAAATCGCGTGTCTAATGCCCCATTCGAGATGCCCGCCGGTTCTTGGATGCCGGCCTTTTTCCTTCTCTCCTTTTCATACTTTTTTGGCCTAATGTGGCTTAATTATACAACATCAATCTGGTTACTGTTCGCCAGCAAACAAAGAGCCCGGCGAACTGGCCGCCATTAAATCCATGTCAAAAGTCCCCCTGGTGATCACCATCGGCTCAACGGCTCATCGGCTATCAAAAGGAGATGCCAGTAAGCTGGGCATCTTTCCACGGAAAACGCTTCTCGATAATTTGATGCAGCTTTTTTTCCTCTGTTTTTTTTTTTGTGTGCCGTCGTCCCAAAACGTTGCCCTGACTTGGGGTCCTGGCTTTTTTCTGCCGCGCTGACTTGTCTAAAATTCCACAAACTCATAAATGTGGATGCGTCTGGTTCGTCATCGTCATCGATGTTGGCAATCCTCGAATGACAGACATTGTACAGAGGGAAAAGAGATCTTAGGCCGAGTTACAGAGTGCCAAGCAAAGTATCATAAATACATAACCTCTAAAATGTACAATATTTCTTTCTGTGTGCGCTCAGTGACTTTCTTGGTTGGATTAATTCCGCATCAGCGAAGTAGATTCCAGATGGAAGAATGTGGATTCGTTTGAAGTTATTAGATGGCATGGCTGGTAATTGACAATTAATTGCCATCGACAACTGCAAATGGAAATGGAATGAATGCGCACCTGGGAAACTGGCGGCGTTTTTCCACGTGTGAAGTCTGACAAGTTTTCACACCAAACACGCACAACCTGTGAGATTGTTAATGGAAGATAAACAAGAAAAGATTTCAAAGATTATACCCCGGCAAATATTTCAACACTAAGTTTGTGTAAAAGCACCTTTAAAAAACATTCAAATATTGATCTTTTAAAACATCTTCCTTGGAATGACTGATCAAAAATGCATGATTTTTTTTGAAAACCAAGAGTACGTTGTTCATGACAAAGCCAAAAGTGGTCTAAATTTCGAATGTAATAAATCGTTGAGCTTGTTTTTTAAATCCTAGTCAATCTGTATTCACACTTTAAAATGTCAAATTTTTGCCATTTTTCGAAAAAAATTTTGATGTTGCCCCTTATCGAAAATGCGAAAATCGCCTACTCCCATTATTCTTCTCAAGACGATACTATTATGTCGATAATTTAGTCAATCCTTATATTACATAACACACATATCTTAATTACCACATTATTGATGGCCTTTCCGGAATCTGTTGCTTTCCACACAGGATGTCGCATTTATCTCATTCTATTTTCTGTGTGAATATTCATGATTCATAAATATATTTACAAATTAATATATAAATATACATACATACATACATACACATGTAGACAAGCTTACATATCTTGCAACTGTCCCGCGGAGCACCCTTTGTAGTTTTGCATATAAAATAGCTAAGCTCTCCAATAAAACAATTCAGATTGAACACATCTGAAAACACAATCCTGCAATCACTGTTTGTGTATTATTTTATCTATTCTTAACACTTTTTAAGAGCGAGAACAATAAATTAATGTTGTTTAGAAGCGCAACTCTTTAAGAATGACAAGTGGCGGGAGGACTTCAAGACGCCGAAGCAAAAGAGAAGATAACCGTTAAAGCAGCTGTCCCGCAGATCTGCACATTGCTCTTGTCCTCTTTCTTGATGCTTCTTCTTCTTTATCAAAGTATTTAAATAAATGCTTTCGTCACATATGTATGTATGCAAGTGTGTAGCTACATTGTTTATAATGTTCAAGGTTCTTATTGGGATTGGTTGGTCGTTGAGCTTGACTTGATACATAAATCGCAATATTAACAAACATAAATGTACGTATGCACATACACACACATACATACACACAACCATAAGTAGACGCGCGCGCTTTAATTTCAATTATCCCGCGCAATACTCTTAAGAATATGTAATTTCACTATTGTAACAGTTTATATACAACAAAATGCAAATCAAAGTGTTGCGTTTACCTTATCTCTCACCTCTTATGTTTTATTATGTCTATTATCTATAATTTTCAACACTTTTAAATGGTAAAACCAATATTCTATGAATGGAATCAGTGAGTGCAGCTCAAAGAATGAAAACCGTAATAACCGGCGAAAAAACGAGAATGGATAACGCGTCCTTTCTCATATTTTCGTCTCTTCTTTGTCAAAGCATTTATAGATTTAAAATAAAAATAAAATAAATAACCGCGACAGTCAAAAGCCAGAGACAGTAAGACAGTAGAATTACACGATCTAATATCGCAATTTTAGCCAATTTAATATCACATATTAGCCAATATAAGCAAAGTGCAATTACCGCAAATGGCAAACGTTTATTAAATTACACTGAGTTTTTGTTGCTGCTGGCGTGTCGGCGAAACAACAAAGAGGGACAGGGTTTTTATTGAATTTTTATTAGATAAAATTATAGGTATCAAATTACTAAAGTGCGAACCGGAATGCGAACCGCTTAGAATAACACTTTCGTCCCCTGTTAATTGTTGTTTTGATAAATGTTAATTAATAAATGCAATGGCAATAATTCAAAATTATTCGCCTTTGTTGTTTTATGTAACTCTAGGTTGAAAGTTCTTTTTCAAATTTAATATTTGAATATATTCTAAGATCTAATATTATTTTCATTTTTTTGCAGATTGCCAAACTGGTGCCCCTAATAGAGTCTGGTTGCTCTCGTCGGGCTCGCTTTTTGCTTTGCTCGTCGCTGTTTCCGCTCTGCACGCCGGACGTGCCACGCCCCGTTACCGCCTGCAAATCGCTGTGCGAAACCGTTAGAGGCGAGTGTACGGAGAATGCTTCGCCGCAACTGATGGAGCTGTGGCCAGCGTTCCTGAACTGCGACGGTCTGCCGCAACCGGAGAAGCACGAGCTATGCATGCAGATTCCTCAGGAAGTGGCTGCTGCAGGTGGTCCCAGTGGCCCGCCCACTAGCAGTGCAGCCAGTGTCGAAGACCACCCACAGACGTATCGCTTCTGGAAAAGCGGAGCACCACCTGCACCTGGTGTGGGCGGCGTCTTGTGCCCGCAAAACTTTAGCGGAAGTCCCTTTAACCCGGAGGAGTGTGTACCCCAGTGCCAGCGGGACGCCTTCCACACCAGCGCCCAGAAGAAGATGTCGGAGAGCTTGATCCTCGGCCTGTCTGCTGTGTGCTTTGTCCTGACCTTGTTCGCCCTTGTGACGTTCTGGGCGGAACCCACCCGGTTTGGCTACCCCGAGAGACCCGTGCTCTTCCTGTGCCTATGCTACAACCTGTTCAGCGTGTGCTATCTGGAGCGCATTGTGTTCCACAACCAGGCCCGGATGCAGGACGTCCAGGTGCAGGGACGACTAATGCGACCGGCCTGTTTGCTGACGCCTCCCTGCCTGGCCTCCTACATAACTACCTCTTATTTGAGCCTGTGCGCCGCAAGCTGGTGGCTGATCTTCACCCTGTGCTTCTACCTCTCCTCCCACAAGAAGTGGTCTAGCGAAGCGCTGGAGAAGAGATCCGGTCTCTTTCATGTCCTGGCCTGGGTACCCCCACTGGCTCCGCCCATTGCCGCGCTGCTCCTGGAGAAGGTGCGCCCAAGCGAGCTAACTGGCATGTGCTATGCTCCGGGATTTGTGGAGCTGCCCGCATTGGTCCTTCTTCTACTTGGATTGTACTTCACCCTGAGGGCCTCTAGATCCTTGCTTTCCCTGCAGCAGCAGCTCCAGCCCACCCTGGCACACCACCGCTTCGGACAGATCAGGAAGCGTTTCGTAGTATTCTCCCTGCTGTACTTTGCACCCACGGCAGCCGGCGTGGTGGCGGCTCTTTGCGAGCGGTACGCCGATTCTGTGCCCAGTTGCTCCACGCCCGAAGATTGCCTTTCGCCCACTCCGTTAAGTGCTTGGCCAGCCTTGGTCAGGATATTCTTTCAACTGGTGGGCGGAACCTTGACCGGACTGTGGGTCTGGTCGCGCAAGACCTGCGAGAGCTATAGAAATCGGTTGGCGACCAGCGGTACGCCCACCTCCTCGCTGATGAACCAAAGCAAGTCGGCCGGAGCCCTGCCCAAGAAGCATTTGTATACCAGTGGGAAGTCCAGTGGAGGGATTACTCCCCTCTATGCAGGCATCAGCTTCCACAATGTACCCGTCTGCAATCCCAACCAGTCCAGAGTTTAGAGGGATCCTTTCATCTTTCAGGTGCTGTGGATAAATCTCTAGCAGTTGGAATATTCTCTCATGCAGACACCCCCTACTCTATTGTATATAGGAAATCCATATTCATCCGCTCCTTCTGTAGTCCTAGAATGCTCTAAGCTCTGATCTAAGTACAGGATGGACTGTACGTCTAGTTCGTAAGCCTGAAATGTGTTAATAGCTTTAAAGTCGCCTTGCCTCCAGCCACCCATCACCTCCAGTTCTTATTAGTAGTTCTTTAGCTAATCCTAAGTCTGTAAATAGAGCAAATGTTTTTTTTGTACTTTAATTATGGTATTTAAATAGTTTTAAAATTGTCAACAGATTTAGTTTCATAATCCAATATATTGTGAATATTTGAAGTGAATTGAAGACGAATTGTTTTTGAAGAGGTATCGGGTAATATCGGGACTTAAAATGTGGAATTACAAATGAGTAAGTACAGAGGTAATAAGTTACCCTGGATTCTCACGACTGACCGAGATCAGCGCAGAGTGACCAGGTTAATCACTTGTGTAGTGCCCATCCATATGGGTTAATAATACTAAGGCATCGCCTGGCGGAATTCCGAGGGGAATCGTTGCGAATTCGTTTAATTGCAACAAAAAGGCTAAATTGTTGCTATTGTCGGCGGTCCGAGCGGTGGCAATTAGAAGGAAAATGCTTAATGACAGAGCTCAGCGTTGATTGCTAGTGTTTTGGTGAAACTGCCATTCGCACCACCGCACCACCTGTACCTTATCCTCCACCTGTGCCTCTGCATGTTACCCTTTTTTTTTATCTTAGCCATTCTAACACATAACGTAACAGGCTCGGCGGTTTCTGGTTTCGAATATACGACTGGCCAACACCCTGTTTTCCTAAGTACAAGCCTGTAATTATAACGGTTATATTTGATCGAATGTGTATTGAAAAGCCATTTAGAATGACTTTAAAACAAATAGCTTCACTTACCGTATATTCCCAAATCGCCAGAATCATGAGTATTAACCGAGGCACAATTAATTTGATTGAAGCTGCCACACCGCGTGCCAACAAATTGGCGCGCGGGTTGCAGGCAACAAACCCGGGCACAGCAGCAACATCGCCGCAAGAGCAATTGTGCAGCAAGCGTGCAATTAACTCTTGTGCGCCAAGATCAAAGCGATTAATGCCGTCCTGCCCCGCTACTCGGACTCGGACACAGACTCGGGCTCGAACTTGGGCTCAAACTCAGACTCGACGGATGAACCAAGACCGGTGGACTTGGCCCAGAGCGGGGAACCACGACCGTGGAGGGTGGAGAGGGGACGGGGCCGAAAGCGATGCCAAGCCAAGCCTGACGCTTTATCATCATTCCCATCGGCGCTGTCGCTCCTCTTGTTCTGGTCCCTCTGCACGGAGAAAAATACTTTTCTAAAACAAATTATAAACTCAGGTCTTAAGGCTATATAAGTTAATGTAAAATCATTGAAAGTTGTGATATAAATTAAATATTCAAAGAGTTTAGAAATGTGCAAAAGGATTATTAGATGGGAGTTTTCGATATCGTCAAGCCATTTGGCCAAAAATCAAAAATTAGGAACTATGAAATACAGCTTATTCTACCGTTTACAATAATTATATATCATTTATATATGATAATATGTATTTGTTTTTCCTTTGCTGTTCATTTCTTTTTCATAAGTATTACATACTTTTCCTATGCATTTTATTTTAAATACTATGTACATACTTTTCGGATGCTTCCACGTCTTAGTACCAACAGTGTCCGACAGAGGCGTTGAGTGCATGCTTGTGCCAAGAAAGACTGGCAAAGACTGGTTAGGGACCAGTCTTGGCCGAGATTTATCGATAGCCCGGCTCAAAGTGCTTGCAAGCCCAGTCGCAGACCGGTTTGGCCAAGAAACGAGAAAGAAGAAAGGCCCAAAGAGAAATCATTCTCAAGCGTTCACTTGGCACTTGGCTTTCTTCTGTTGACGTGTGCAGCCGCTAGGAAATGCACCGTTCTTAATTGCCAAAAACCAAAACAGAAATGGCAGCAAGTGTTGTTAAAGCTCCCAAGTGCCCAAGACGAGGTTCTGCCAAAGATCTTTCTCAAAATGCAAAGAGTTCAGAGCCGAGAGCCAGCAATGAGGCTAACTGGTAAGTGAAACAAGTGCAAAACGAGTTAAAACAAAAACAAACGGTAAAAATTCTCAAAAATTTCAAACAAAAACAAAACAGTAACTGGTGGCTTCTCCTGGCCCTTGTCTTTCTGGTGACTTGTGCCACCCGCTTCTACAAGGTGACTGAGCCGGATCATATTTGGTGAGTGACCCACTTTTACGGGTAGATCATCTGACTATAAGTTTCCATCTATCTTCCAGTTGGGATGAGACGCACTTTGGAAAAATGGGCAGTTGGTACATCAACAGAACCTTCTTTTTCGATGTTCACCCTCCGCTGGGAAAGGTTGGAGTACTTCCATAATAGATTATATTAAACAAATTTATATAAAATTCTGTAATTAATAGATGCTCATTGGACTCTCTGGATACTTGACGGGCTACAATGGAACGTTTCCCTTTGAGAAACCAGGCGACAAGTACAACGAAACACGTTACCAAGGCATGAGATATGTAAGTGATTACAAGGTCACAAAACTTTAATAAACATATGGTGTTCATCTTCAGTTCTGCACCGTACTGGGTGCTTTGATTATGCCCATGGGATTTGATACCGTCCACGATCTGACCCGATCCGATGAAGCGGCCTTGCTATCAGCTGCTTATCTTATATTCGGTAAGTAACACCGATCAAATAGGTTTAATTTCTACGATTTGTTACTATTTTTCTATGTTACTTTCGTAGATGTGGGTCTCCTAACCCTAAACCAGTACATCCTTCTGGACCCTATTCTGCTGTTCTTCATGATGGCCTCAGTGTGGGGAATGGTGAAGATATCAAAGACTACAGCTTCCGGAGGATCCTATGGACTTCGCTGGTGGTTCTGGCTCTTTTTCACCGGCACCATGTTGTCCTGCACGATCAGCGTTAAGTTCGTGGGTCTGTTTGTGGTCCTGTTGGTTGGTCTGCACACTGCCACCGAGCTGTGGCTCATCCTCGGCGATCTGGGGCAACCCATTTGGGAGACCGTTAAACAGGTGGCCTGCCGGGCCATCACCCTGATCGTCTGGCCCATTCTCCTATACATCCTGTTCTTCTACATCCATCTGAGCGTTCTCAACCGCAGCGGCAATGGCGATGGCTTTTATAGTTCGGCCTTTCAGTCCAGGCTGATCGGCAACTCGTTATATAATGCCAGTATGCCAAGAGATGTAGCCTACGGATCGGTGGTGACTATCAAGAACCACAAGACGGGCGGGGGCTATCTGCACTCGCACCACCACCTGTATCCCAAGGGATCGGGCGCCAGGCAGCAGCAGATCACCACATACACCCACAAGGATGAGAACAACAAGTGGCTCATCAAGCCGCACAACAAGCAGCGTTTGCCGAAGGACAAGTTACAGGTTCTTAAGCACGGGGACATCGTCCGCTTTGAACACGTGGCGACCAGGAGGAATCTTCACTCCCACGGCGAACCGGCGCCTGTGACCAAGAAACATCTGCAGGTCACAGGGTATGGCGAGGTGGGTACTTAACTCTACTAAATTTGTTGTCCCATTATCACTGCTTCCTTCGCAGCTGGGCGTAGGCGATGCCAACGACGCCTGGCGAGTGATGATTGTGGGTGGCAAAGTCAACCAAACGGTGCACACGGTGACCTCCCGTCTCAAGTTGATCCACCTGCTGGAAAACTGCGCTCTGACTTCCAGTGGGAAGCAGCTGCCCAAGTGGGGATTCGAGCAGCAAGAGGTGTCCTGCAATCTTAACGTGCGCGACAAAAACGCCCAGTGGAATATCGAGGACAACGAACATAAGTTGAGTGAGTAACTGGGAAATACGTTTGTAATATTTGAGTTAAGAATCAAATCATTCATTTCCAAACAGTGCCCAGTGTAAGCTTCAGTGTGTATGCTCCCGGATTCTTTGCCCGGTTCCTCGAATCCCACGCCGTGATGCTTCAGGGAAACGCTGGACTGAAACCCAAGGAAGGCGAGGTGACCAGCAGGCCCTGGCAGTGGCCCATCAACTACAGGGTACGTCGAAGCTACAATTATCAAAAATTAACACAGAGAATAAGCATGTACCCATCTGTTTCTAGGGTCAATTCTTTTCTGGCAGCACTTACCGCATCTATTTACTGGGAAACCCCTTGATCTGGTGGAGCAATCTGGTTTTTCTGGCTCTATTTGTTGCTGTTTTCCTGTACAACGCAGTTGTGGGGCAAAGAAGAGCTGGCTTTGCGCGTGCTCTAGCAGAAACTCAATCTCAAACACAATCAGAAATTGTCGCTCAGGGTGAGGAGAGTGAGCCCTCAACCACAGACGCCTGCAGTTGCTGTCCCTCGCCGGAGAAGAAACCCCAGAATGTGCTTCCAAGAGGGGCCAATGATCCAGACCCGTCAGCAATGTCCTTGCGAGCGGCTGCCTGGCTTTTTATGGGCTGGGTGCTTCACTATCTACCCTTCTGGGCGATGGGCAGGGTGTTGTACTTCCACCACTACTTTCCAGCTTTGATATTTAATTCCTTGCTAACGGGTAAGTATATATATATAGGAATGTAGTAGTAAAAGTATTCAGCTAATGGTGTTCTCTAATAGGCATAATGTTCAATTACATTATGAGGTCTCTGCCCAAGTGGATCCAGCACGTTCTCCTTGGAGTGGTTTTATCGATCCTGGTCTTCAGCTTTGCCGCATTCTCGCCACTGGCCTATGGGATGAGTGGTCCCCTAGCCAACGAACCCAACTCCACGATGCACAATCTCAAATGGCTATCCACCTGGGAGTTTTAGTTATTATTATATATTATATATGCATACTAATATTATTATTAGTTTGGGGTTTTTATCCACTCATTGTAAGGAGTTAAGTTTGGCGAATTTTTAAAGTGAAATTTAGTGCAATATTGGCAATGCAATTCCATTATAAAAACTATCGTTTAAGTATGTTAAATATAGTATTTATTATAATATCCATAATTCAGTAGAAACTATCACAAATCTCTGTGAAGATAAAAACCCCGAATAGGCAACGTTTTTTTTATTTTTTATAAGTTAATATAATGCTTAATGTATAGAATACGCTTAACACTACGTACTGTTTATAAACAAAAAACAAAAAAAAAGGCGTTTGTAAAAGTAGCACAAGAACGATAAGCCTAAGGATCGAAGGATCGAAGCATCTGGGGATCCGTGTACCCTACATATCAATCGAATATGCCCAGCTCATCAAAACGGCGCAGAGCGTAGCGCAGTGTGTCCGTGGTGCGGGGATTGGAGGAGAACATCAGCTGGACTTTCTTCTTGGCGAAATCCTGATCCGTCAGTGCTTCGATGCTGATGTCATACGAGTCCTCCTTCTTCATGGTGACCATCGGCAGGAAGGCGTAGGAGGAGAAGAACCCATACAGCTCCCTGGCCCTGATCTCCTGCTGTATGTCCGCGTAGCTGGGCAAGAAACTCGAGTGCATCCGCTCAAGGCTGTCACGCAGGGAGGCGTAGTACGTCTGAATAAGAAACTCACGACGGTGGATCAAAACATCCAGTTGGACGCTGCTATTCAGGAAGAAGTTAATGTCACAGCCCGGGCTGCCAAAAAAGCTGTTCTGGAAGTCCACCTAAAAATTAGATAAAATTTAATTTAAATTTAATTTAATAATTAAAACAGCAGAAAAATGATTTATTTTTGAAAGATGAATCTAATTACTCACGAATATGGCATCGATGGGTTTCGTCGGCAGCTCGTCGTCGTATTTGTACATGAAGTTGTTCACCCACAGGTCACCGTGGTTCAGTACAGTGATCTCTCCCGGCAGCGTCCGTCCGGTCATCACCAGGTTCTCCTTAATGTTGTCGCAGTGACGGTGCAGCTTCTCGGCCAGCAACTCGTATCCGGGCCACTTTGATACCACGTTAGCCAGAGTCCGGCACTGGAGGGTCATGAAGGTAATGAACCGCTCGTTAGTCCGGATGTAGTTCTCATCCAGCATTCCGGTTGTGAAGTGCTCCTGAACACTAGGCTCCTGCAACACCAGTCCGCGTTTGTGATAAAAAAAAACTAATGTAAATTCTTCGGGGATCACTCACCTTCTCGGCCAGCACCATGGAACTGGCATGGAACTTGCCCAGCTTCTTGAGGATGACCACGCAGTGCTCCTCGTTTAGGCCGCTCTGTCTGCTGGCCAGCTTATAGCCATACTGGGTGAGGTCGTCGAAGACGATCGTCTGAATGGGCTCGCGGGTTGTATACAGGCACTTGGCCCCGAACTTCGACCCGTCTCCAATAAGGACCTCCAGTTTGCCAAGAACGTCAAAGTAGAAGATCTTCTCGCGCAGATAAACAGCAAGTTCCTCGAGGAATTGGGTTGCCGGCGTGATCGCAATACTCTTGACAATCATGGCCAGCTCTTCGTCCAGCTGCCTTTTGCTGCTACGATAGAGGGCCCTGGCCCTATAGATCTTGCTGCAGTAGTTCTCACCGCCTCCACCACTCGACTCGGCAAAAATGATCTTCTTGATGTCCACGCGCATGTCCCGGAGTCCGTCCTCCAGCGCCGCTTTAAAGAAGTCCTCGTTAAGGTACTTGGGCGGCTCCTGGCCCAGTCGCTTCTGCTTGTCGTCCAGCTTCATTCTATCCTTTCTTCTTCTGTGATAGTACTGCGATTTCTGGGCTTCTGGGGGAAGGACACCTGTTGCGGCGGTTTCTTCGACTGGGAAACTGTGGCCCCGCCGCCGCACTTATATATATTAAGGCCTTATCAGTAACAGGTGCAGCCGCGTCGCAGTCGGCATCGACCGCACCGATATTTGTCGCCACACCATATCTGTATCGACGACAGCATATGTACTATATAGATCAGGTGCTCCATAGACGACATTCCAATGGGGGTGACAGGCTTAAGATTATTCCCTTGTTAAGGACAACAACTTAAAATCACATGGAAAAATTTGGGAGTACTTAATCAGGAAAGTTCATTTATTATTAGTTAGACTAGAATGTTTATCTTTAAGGGAAAACTTCCGAATTATATTAAATTCAAGTTATAGTCTTAAGAATCCCGTCTGCTGCGCAGCCTCTGGTCTTTCACTCGACTAGATCCCATTCCGGTCCGAACTCCTCTCGGATTCTCAGTTCTCGAATGCTGTACACATCCGTATCACCTAGTCGAGCGACGTGGTCGGCATACCCTAAATCCGTATAGTATGTTTGGCATGTGTGTACATACATACACCTACATCTGTGCACCGAGCAAGTGATAAACGCGACTTCCTTCGCACATACCGTGAGATTTATACGAAGCGGATTCCGATTAAACATATTTTTATTTTTGGGTATAATTCTTGTGCCAGAAATCTAAGTACAGTGCATCTCACATGAAAACTAAATACGTATTATTCTGAATTACAAACTTTAACTGCAAGACAGCTCTGGGTGTGGGAAATCAAGATCAAGCAGTTGATCGGTGCACCTGTTGCGGCTCATCCATGGAATTCTAACCACGTAGAGATTACGGCGCCCAGCACGTGGTTGAATATAAATCTAATCGGGGTGTGCTAAACGGTTACAATTCCAATTCATTACCACTCCAAACTTATTGTTCTCAGATTAGTCATCCAAAAAGTATGCTAACTTTGTACCTTGTCCCAAAAAGGGTTTCTTTGGGTTAAGGAAGGACATTTTGAATTGCAGACATATATACAAGTAATAAGAGATCATCAAAGGGAAGTCCCCACTAGATCTATACAAAATAATCCAGATTGCAGAGTCCATGGAAAAACCCTGACCAATCGGCCTAGGATGTGATTTATCATTAGATGGCAGATCTTTGAAAACAATCGTGGGGAGCAATGTCTTTGTTTTGATTTACCGCGCATAAGGCGGTGTATATAGACATTACGTCATGTTTGGGGATTCGTGCAATGTAGAACCACAGTATTCTTTGATATCGATTATAGATGGTACAAAACTGCTCTCTTAGTCGACCAACGGGTGAGTCAGCTATCAGAACTATATGCTCGAATCTGGAACGAACTTGAGAACAATAGAACATATATATATACTCACAGAGCACCTTTAGTCTCGTCTGGCCGCCGTCTAATTAGATCTCCACGCGTCTGTTCCGGATCGAACTACTTGGACATCGCCCCTGACCTCAGATTCGCTGGCTCTTCCGATTATATTTCTGCGCCTCGAACTAATCTCAAATGACGTACTGAACTACAAAAGTGAATGATCTAAAATTAAAATCATACCGCTACAAAGTGGCCATGACAATGATGAGGTGCACCGTGTTGGACCTACGGTCTCTGCATCGCGGATTTTGTTTCCGAGGGGCGTACGGCGACGTACCATAATTGGGGTCAATGGGGTTATCAATTTGGAACGGTAGGACGAATGATTGTAGTCGCCCGCGTTCATCGCAATTCGGGACTTGAATTTGAGATTCGTATTTTGATGGAGCTTGCTGTGGGAATGGGGAATTCGGGGTCGAAGATTAAAGCGATATGTTGTAGTTCTGTTTCAGGGATCATCTTGATCTTCATTAAGTATAATGTATTATATATATTATAACCATTTTAGCCATCAGTAGGTTCTAGAAAGAATCATGATAATCTGACAGACGGTGTGACCTACGGCGTTGCAATCGCAATCTGTTTGTTTGTATAGCCCTAAGCAGACAAACACAAAACCTTCACATACATCCACTGTGCGCTCAGCTCGCTGACCACCACAATATAGCAGAAACAATAGGAACAATCTGGGTAAACATTGATTCCCAGCCAATCCTATCTGAAGATCGTTACTCGACATACCTCGATAGATAAACAATGCGGCTCTCGACTCTTGACGCACTTGACTTGATCATTAGTCTGCGTTTATTATGTTATGCATAGACTGCAAGAAATATCTAGTGACTAGAAACTTGAAAACTAAATGTATTTCCAATCAAGTTAATATAAGTTTTTATCCGATGATAGAATAATGTATTTTACACGAAAACCAAATAGTTAATGTTCTCATTGACTTGTTAATTGCTGCAGGACCTTTGCTTTCCTTTTGTTTAATTTTCCTAAGAATAGGGAGTTGGAAGACCGCCGTGATTCGAACCATTGTAGTCCTCGAATTGTGTCAAAACTCAAGTAGCAACAAAATGTTTACTTGGTTTTTCATGTCATATCTGCTGCTGTTGCCATAGTCAGAGCGGGACGGGTGGAGGGGTCAGAAAGAGGGGGCGCGATGGCGGCACGCCACCAAAGTCAGTGATTGCCATAGAAATATAGATGAGATAGTCCGACGTTTTCAAATTTGCTGCTGCGCAAAAAATTGCATTAAACTTGAACCAAATTTTGTCTATTAATTGTCAATTGGCTTTTTAAGAGCTGGATTTCCAAAGCGTGCGACCTACATATATATACGTACGCATTTATAATTATTAAAAGCTGGGCATTAGCCAACAAAGGGACTTACATATGCACATATATATGACTATATTGTCGTGTAAGGTTCTTTTAAATAATACTCAATGTCTGTAATTGTAGTCAATAGCTAACTGGTCATTAAAACATGGGTAACAATACGAATAATATATCTATCGTAAGCAATAAATAATAGCAGAAGAGCAGAAAGAGTCGATTAAACGGACGAGTGTATGTATGTTAATATATGTATGTATAAAATACTTGGAAAGCCTCTTAAAAATATTGCATATGTCATATCGCTCATACGCCCCGTCGGATTTTTAATAATTTTGAGCTGAAGATAAAGAGAAAGTTTGGGCTGCTAGTGATGGGTTTCTAGAAAGTTCTCTTGTTTGCTGTTGCCAGGATATTGTGAATGCAAACAAAACTGTAAAATAAAATAAAGAATTAAGTAGGAAAAACAGAAAAGTCCATCAAAAGACGTTTTTAAAAGTAGTTTAACATATGCTACAGTTGTTATTCTCTTTTCTGACAATTAACTGACTGATTTAAAAATACTATAATTTAAAAAACATCGTACGTAGCTTGATAGCTGCCTGGTCACACTGCGTGGATGTCATCGGAACTTATCGCACAGTCGATAGCTTAGTTAATCTTGTTATCCGATAGAAGATATGGATCTGCGCCGGAAGCTTCTAATAGCGGAAGCTGCAGCGGATCAGGACGAAGCGAGATACCAGGCTCACTTGCAACTCGTCGGAGAGCTGCACCACCAGCTGGGCATTCCAGTGGGCGTGGCGGGGGAGCGTCTGCAGCAATTAATCGCAGAGGTGCGAGCGAGAGGGCACCACGACCTGTTGAATCTTTGGCAGCTGTGGTTTAACGAGCTTATCCAGAACAGACAGATTATCCTGGTAAGATCCCATCTGCTTGTGGATGAGCTAATGGCCGTAGGACAGCAGGAACTGTCTGCCGAATCCCTTGATCTGCTACTGACCCTGCTGAAACTGACGCCCAAGGAGAAATTGGCTGGATTTTGGCCTAGGCTAAGCGCATTAGCCCTGTCCAAAAATGTGGATGCAGCTCTTCTGCTTCTGCAGTGCCAGGAACTTGTGCTACTCGAGCTGAAGGAGACGCCGGTGGAATGCAGCCACACCCGCAATCTGGCAAACTCTCTTATCCAAATGCACTTTGACGGCTGCTGGTTGTCCGCCAAGGAGGAGCAGCTGGCCCTGCTGTTAGAGCACAGTATGCAGCTGCTACAGAAGTTGGTGACGAGTCAACTGGACTACGCTGCTGAAAGGGTCCCAGAACTAATGGGCTTGATCCAGTGCTACCTGCAGTACGGAGCTGAAGGGGAAACTCTACTTAAGCCCCGAAAGTTTCCCCCCGCTCAGCAGTCGGCTGCCTATGAGCAGGAAAAAGAAGTTGTGGAGCAGCCAGCCGCCCAGCATTCGCGCACATGCGGCCGCAAGAATAAGGTGCGTAAAATGCGGTCGATTGCCAAGCAGCGAAGTCAGGCGATTGGTGAACCCCTAGAGGCCAACCCACGGGACCGTCTGCTATTGATGGGTAACCAAGACTACGGCTGCTTGACTGGAGACTCGGGCGAGAACTGCCTGCCCTCCGATACGGAACAGCAGGCAGAAACTAAGCACCTCCGGCAGCAGCAGGCCAAAGTGAGAATCACCGCCCTCCACTTTTTAGGATCCCTGACCAAACAACTTCCACGACGCTCACTGTACGGTTACTGGTACGTCCTGTTCCCCGACGGAGACTCGGGTGGTAATCGGCATCTGTTACTCGTTGGTCTTAAGGACACCAATTCTCGTTGTCGTGCACTGGCACTGCAGTTGGGTGCCCAGCTGCTGTACGGATCTAAAGGATTTCTTAGCCAGGCCTGTTCCCGCGGACCCAGCAATTTCACGCCCTTCGCCGTCAGCCTGGCTAGCTCTGTGCTCGTCGCTTATCGAACCTTGAGCGCCGTTCTGGAGCGGGAGTATACGCCGCCTGTGCTAACGCAGTGCTTAAAATGCCTGGCCGTTTTGGTACAGGCCACTCCCTTTGATCAGCTGGAAATGGGGTTTGTCTACGAGTTTGTGGGTCATGTCAAGAAACTGGCCAAAAGTGAAGACCCTACGATCGCTGTGTCCGCTCTGCTGGTCATGGAAATGCTGGTGGGCACGGCCAAGCTTACGCCGGAGATTGCTAGCTCTGTCGGACTAGCTCCCAGCCAAAGGAACCTTCAATTGGAACCAGCAGGAGCAGTCGATGACTTCCAGGAGCTATGCGACTCGGATGCGGAGGTAGAACTTGAAGAAGAGGAGGAACAGCCGACGCAAAAAAGTGAGGTCAATCCCGCCAGCACATTGTCGCCATCCGTTCCTCGCAACTCCTGGTTACTAAGACAGATCCTTCGAAACCTTGAGGCTCCCGGAACTCCGGTCGTCGTGCGTGTGGAGAGTTTCCAGGTGCTTCAAGCCATGGCAACGCATATTGGGCTTCTGCGAGGACATCAGGACCGTTTAGCTAAGGTGTTCTCTGCCGGTTTGAAAGATCCCGCTTCTGATGTAAATCTATATGCCGCCCGTTGCCTGGACTCAGTGGGTTATCAGTTGGGCAGGCTGCTGCCGGAGATATCAGAAAGGGAGCTGCAGATATCGTTTTGGCTCACCCTTCTGCCCGACATCTACGAAGCCTATAATACCGCTGGGTTCTCCCTCAAGTGTGCCCTCTGTGACGCCTTGTCTAACATGGGAGCATTCAGCTTTGAGAGACTATCGGATGGCCAAAGGACCGCTTTGCTGGCTTTCGTAAGTGGCTGCGCCAGCGACGATCACGAGGAGCCGTTGGTCAGAGGAGCAGCTCTTCGGGCTATGGCCGTCTACGTTTTGCATCCGTCGCTGAAGACAGATTTGGGCTTTGTGGAGAATGCAGCGGAGTTGACTTTACGCCTCATAAGTGATTCCCAGCTGATCGTAAGGATCAAGGCCGCCTGGGCCCTGGGTAACATCAGTGACGCCCTGGTGGGCGGCATTCCCAACCAAACCGAAAGGATTTCTGCCGACCTCATGGGACGCCTTATTCAGGCGGCTTCTAAGAGCTGTACTGATAACGATAAGGTCAGGGCCAATGCAGTTCGCTCCCTCGGGAATCTCTTGCAGATCCTGCAACTTCATCCCTCGGATAACGGTGAGCAGATGCAGCTGGCAATGGCCAAGTTGCTGGACTGTGTACGATCCTCGGGCAACGCCAAAGTAAAATGGAACGCCTGTCATGCTATCGGAAATCTAGTAAAACATAGGGCCTTTTTCGCTAGCAGCAACTTATCTGGGATCCTCTTCCCCGCTCTAAGTCAACTAATGGTGCAGCATGCTAACTTCAAAGTGCGCACCAATGCCGCAGGAGTCTTGCTCCACGTGGAGCAGCGTCAGGATCTGGGCACCCATTTTTCGTTGGTGTGGCGTTCGCTTCTGGATGCTCTTGAACGCTCAAATGCGCTGGACAGCTTTGAGGAGTACAACCACCGCGATACATTGCAGCAGCAGCTCTGCCTCGCTATTGCCCACCTACTGACGCTGGCCAAGAGCTCGGATCTGCCGGCGATGAGGGAGTTTCTCGAGGAAGACCGCCTGGAGGAGGTGCGGGCTACGTGGCGCCGCGTCGCATTTCGCATTGTTCCCGAGCAGTCTGCACCGCTCTTTACCTGCAGTACTTTATTGGATCAGCGCCTCCACCCGGAGGTCAACACTCAGCAGCGTTGCGCACTGGCCTTTATAACGAGCACACTCCGGCTAGATCCGTAAAAACACCCAAATCCACCCATATTTCCCTAATCCCTTAAATAAAATAATTATTTAAAAATCCTTTCATGTTTTGCCTTCATAACAAATGGCAGGATTGCCAGACCTCAAATACCACACGATCAGAAGTATTCTGGAGGTGTTAAACTTTGCTAATTGTCCGACCAGCGCAGCAATCGTTTGTTACCCATCTCTAATGATGGCTTCCTGCAAAACTAACGGTAGTCTTCCAACTTGCCGGACTCCTATTGGTCGACTGGGGAGGGGAAACACGCTAAGGGCAGCCATATTGAAAAAAAACAGTTAGTTTGTTTTGCTCCCAGTTGCTTTCATTCACCTGCTACTTTTTCTGTTCGCCTGGTATCCCAAATCTGAAATCCAAGCAAATCGACATCCAAAAATGCCGTCTGGCGACAAGAAAAGTGCAGAAATTCAAATCTGAGTACCAGGCGAACAGAAATTACAGTAGGTAAATATTTTTACTCCCAGTATTTTGTATCCACCTGCTATGATTTCTGTTCGCCTGGTACTTAGATTTGAATTTCTGCACTTTTCTTGTCGCCAGACGGCATTTTTGGATGTCGATTTGCTTGGATTTCAGATTTGGGATACCAGGCGAACAGAAAAAGTAGCAGGTGAATGAAAGCAACTGGGAGCAAAACAAACTGTTTTTTTTCAATATGGCTGCCCTTAGCGTGTTTCCCCTCCCCAGTCGACCAATAGGAGTCCGGCAAGTTGGAAGACTACCGTTAGTTTTGCAGGAAGCCATCATTAGAGATGGGCGACCAGCGATTTTTCTTCATTACATCAGAGATGCGCAACTCTTTAGAAGTACTAGGGATTTTGTTGCTGACAAGCGTTTAGCCATCTCTGGTCAGCCTTAAAGTATGCAGGGCCATCCTCCAGTTTTGTCAGCTGACACCTTGTCTTGGTTTCTGTTCGCCTGGTAAATAAAAATCATAGTTCCAGCAGGTGCTTCAGGAGCATATTGACACTGGAAAGGTTCCGGAGGTGGCTACCGATTTGTTTTTCGTTTTTAAAAATCAACACAATCGATATCAATTTTTAAAAGGTGTATTTTTTATATAATTTTATATATATAATGTAGACTTTCCTTAATTGATTTGTTAGTGATCACAGCCCACTCCGAGCCTTACCCCGGTTAGTTCGGGGTGGATCGGGGGAACTGCGACCGATGGATGTGTGTGGTGTTCAGGTATTTACTAAAATTCCCTTTAAATTATTGGGTGTTTACATATATTGTATAATTATCATATGAAATATATGCTTGCTGTCATTGAACAAAGTATAAAAGAGATGTATACGATTGGTTGCGGTTGCTTTTAAGTTAAAATGTCAATCTAAAGGAGTTAATAATTAAAAAAAAAAACAATCATAAAATAGTCGAACGTGCGCCGGTGAAGCCAGCATGTAAGAAGCGTGACCTTCGGCGCCAAATTTTTTTTTTTCAGTTTTTTTGTTGTGATAACCTAATGTCTAAGCTGCCCCCAAAAACCCCATATCTACGTCTCGTGCTCTCCTCCTGCGCCCGGGCCGCATCCCTCGGGCGACACAGCGGAACTCTGCTCGGTGGACTGGAGTTCCCGGTCGTCCATCTCGGCCTTGACCTGGTTTAGGTGCGGCGGCAGATCCCGCACTAGGCGCTTCGTCTCCGCAATACCCAAGCCGGGCTCGTCTCCAAAACTCAGCATGCGCTTGCCTCCGCGTACCTTTTCGTTCATCAGTTGAAGGTCCTTTGGGAATGATGAAATTATTACGTAATATTCAGCGGAAGAACTGGTGTGATCAATGCAGATTTGTAATCTGCAATTTCAGCCCTAATCTGCTGAATCCCTCCAAAGGATACTTACCTTAGCGGGGCTGTGGTAGAACCTGTAGACCATCTGATTGGGCGACTGCTGGATCTCGTTTTTGGGCATCTGCGACACGAAGAGCGAGTGGTTCTGAGTGACCTTCTTGGGCTGGGCGGCCCGTTCCTTAGGGTGAGGGGAGAGCAGTAGGTCCGAGGCGTCCGGCGTTACCTTTAGATAGTCGATGGCAAACTGCCGAATCATCGGCACGTATATGTTGTTGTAGAAGTGAATGATGTCCTTCACCTTTGGCTTGCCGTCGTCGCTAATCCCGATAAACACCTCGCGGTAGACGCTGTTCACCGCCTGCGGCTGGTTGCGATATGCCCGCATAATGTCACTGAACTTGGGATCCTCCATTCGCTTTACCTGCGGGGTACGATAAAATTAGGTCTTCATCTCAACATGGAAGACCTGTGCTCTACGTCCATACATTCATTGTATAAGACAGTGAATCGGACAGAGACAGAAAACAAGCAGTACTACTCACTCTAATGTAGATATATATTGCACACATAATATTTTGATCGAGGTGACGGTCCTTCATCAAGTCCGTCTCATGGGTGATTGAGTGTTCAAAGATGTGCCAGATGCACTCGGGCGTCTTCTCGCAGAGTCCCAGTTCCGAGCAGAGCTTCTGGATGCGCAGCCAGCCAAGCAGATACACCTTGCGCAAGAAAATCTGCAGGGCGCCGGCGGAGCGGTCGCGGTTAACTACGAACGACGTGGGCAGTGGCTGCGGGGAGGAGGCGATCATGTCCCAGACAGTCGAGTCCCGCGCCCAAGCTAATCGCTCCAGACAAGTCTCCTCGATGGAGTTTAGGTGCTTGATCAGCGAGCGGTTCAGGCAGCCCTCGTGCGAGCCGTGTCGTACCACGATCTCGATTATCTTTTGAAACTCGAACGGACTAATACTTAAACAGTCGAGTACCCACGGGAACTTGAGCTCCGTCTCATAGGCCTCCAGCACCAGTTCCACGCAGCAGGCCATTAGCGTGATGTTAAAGATGTCCAACGAGATCTTCTGCACCAGCAGTCGCTTGAGATCGATATCGGGCTTGTTCCGGATTTCCGCTTGCAGGATCTGGTCTAGCAGGTAAAAGTAGAAGGATTTGGCCAGTCGAAAGCGGCTCTTCGCTTCTGTAGACGGATACTTGGCGAGGAATTTCTGCTTGATATCCTCGATAATGTTCAGCAGCTTGGCGATCACCTCCTCGCCTGCTTGCCTGCGGAGAAGAATAAATATTGAATAATCAAAGTTTGTTTACACTTGTTATCGACTTGCGTCGATTTGTTTATGAAGATAAGGAAATAAAGCGGCTCTCCTTTACTCTTCCCGCACAATACGCACAAGTTTTTTAATAAAATCACTCGGCTCACTTACTTGACGAATTCCGTGGGTTCGGTGATCCGTCCGAAGGCGCTAAGCTGCTTAACGTTGTTGGTGGCATTGCGGACGGGCTCGAATTTGTCCCCAGCCATAGCCGGCTGGGCGGGCAGGTCTTGTTTGCGGGTAAGCGGGGTGACCGGCGGACGCAGGGACTGATCGTTGAGCCCAGTATGGTCCCCTGCATCATAGGCACTCAGTATGCGCTCATCAAACTCCCCCACACTAAGGACATACTGCTCGTAGCTAATGTTAAGAGACTTAAGGTTGCGCTCGAAGTTCTCGTTAGCCAGCAAACCCAGCATGGTGTCCTTGTTGCCGTAGATGGTCTGTACGGAATGAGAAGATGACAATTAAATTGGTTTCAGAGGTTCAGACTTCTCAGCACACCCACCGAAGTCTTAAAGAAACTCGACATTATCTGGCGGAAGGTTGTGGCCTTCATGGCCTTCGCCTCCTCGGTCATGTCGCAAAAGTAGGCCAAAATGCAGTGTTGCTTGTGACGGTAGTCCAGCTCCGTCCAGTTGCTCGGCAGGCCCTCGAACTTGGGGTTGATGAGATCGGTGCGCTTTTCGGCCAGCACATTGTTGTATATTAAATCGATGCAGCAAATCATCAGGTTGAACGAGGTGACCAGGTCCACGGTGTTGCTGGGCTTTTGGTTCTTGGCGCAGAGGAACAGGCGCCAGCAGATGTCGTCTAGCTTGATGTATGAGCACTTGCCATGAGCATGGTTACCATGAAGCGAGCTGTTTCAAAAAAGAAGACTTGCAAATTAGGAAGTGGGGTCATGGCTGATGATATACGTACATGTACTTGGAGTGCTTCTTCTCGTTGGGAGGACACGAAAAGATCTTATCAAAAATGGTGCGAAACCGCTTGTACAGAGTGAATGTGATGCTGAACTTGCGGTCCAAGACTTCGATCTCGTTCACAAACTCCTGCGGTAGGTTGGCCATGTCGCACCACTGTTTGATCTTGGTCTTGAAATCGTATATGCTGAGAAATTGGATTTAAAGGTATGGTTATTCCACACAGTTACAAGCTGCAGAAGCTAGCAAAAACCCACCTCATCTGGCAGCAGCGCAATAAATTATTCAAGGACACACAGTTGCCCCTGACCACTGCATTTTGGCCAATAACCGTCGGCGTGCTGGATCGCCGGCAGGCAGCATACAAGGCACAGCACAGCCAGTGAATAGACTCACCCTGTAAGTTAGGAAATGGTTTGAATAAGGAACGACTTGGTTTTCAAAACGCGCACTTACCTCCAGGGAACACCTCTGGGACACCTCATGGTACATTTGGTAGCCTTGCAGCTCCGTTTGACGGTCCATGTTAAGCTCCCGGCACAGGTTCGTATATTTCGCCTTGGTCATCTCCTGTCCATCGTCGCATGCTGTCACCGATCCGCTGACAACCTCGGCGCCCAGCTCCTGCGGCTCGGGCTCGCTCATTGCTGTTGCTGTTGTTTTCCCGGCTGAATGGAGATGTTTTCCACCGCTGCCGCTGTTTCCGTCAGCAGCCTGGAAACGGGAGGCGGAGGCGCTGGCGGCGAGGGGTTGGAAACCGGAACGTTGCTGTGGGCGGTGTGGACTTTTCGCTAGTTTTGACTTCTAATGGATGCCGGATTGCACTGCTCTTCCAGCTTCGCTCCTCACGGACATGTAACTGATTAATTTAATAAATCTTTCATTAAATTATATAAATATAAATAGTTTCCCGCCGAAACGACTTCGGGCAATCATATCATATCGATAATAACGCCTGCTGGTATCTAAGAACGATTGGCCCGATTTCCGATGACTATGTGACTCTGTGCACTTGAGTGTGTGTGTGCAATACACCCACCTTGGGAGGCACAACAATGAATCAAGCGAGAAAACAAAACAAACACCGCTGCAGTTACCTACGACATTGCTCGTTTTTTTTTTTTAACATAGATTAATATAATAATTATTTTATAATTATACTTGCCATAGAAAAAGGCGGGAAAGCGAAGAGGGTTGCCAGTCGGGTGCGACAGCGGGAAGATTTTCTCACCGAATCACGAATTTTCGTCACTTCGGAGTTATTTTTCAGTTTTCCCGCACTGTATTGACTTTCAGTAATGAATGTAAACACTTTTACTTCTTGATTATCGCGAAAATCACTCCGCATTTGCAATTTTACCTCGACGTGTTCTTATTTTCACAGACGATCTGGCAACACTGCAGGAGCACCACCCAGCTGTGGGCTAGTGTTGGTCAATGTCGACAGAAATCAGCTGTGAATGTTATCGGTAATCGATAGTTAAACATTTAAAAATGAGCTGAATTAAATGAGTAATTATAATAATGGAAAACATAATAAAACGTCCCCTAGTTGCATTGCTCGAATTTAATATCCAGAAAAATGATGTACTCCCAGGTATACACATGTACTTTGATTTACTTAATAATTCACATGATTTTCTTAAACTAAGCCACAACTGAAGGCGGGCTCCTGGACTGCCTAGCCAGGATTTGGAAAAACCTGTGTCGCCGGTTAAAGGCGGCCATTAAACCCGCTTTTGTGGACACCTCGTTAGTCCTTTTAGAATCCGTATCTATGATGGACCTCTGGCTGGGACTAAAAACCACTTCATTCTCATCCCCAGCCCTTACCACCTTTGACAGCATAATCTTGCTCCAGATAAAGGTTACACCGCTATCGCCGTCCGATTCACTACACAGCTTGCCTTTGGTCATCTGAGGCGTCACCTCGCGATCTTCCCCCATCGCCTGTGGCTCCATAACCGTGCTCCAGGTAAAGGTTGCAGTGCTATCACCGTCCGATTCATAATTGTGTGTACTCAGCATGTTGAACCTCACTTTTTTGACCTTGCCCATCTCAAGCGTTACTTGATCATCTTTCACATCCACACTCCCCATCACCTGTGGTTCGAAAACCTTGACAATATACGTCGCACAGCTATCACCATCGCATTCGCTCGGCTCAGCAGCTTGGTCGAGTCGCTGCAGTATTTTTATCAGTTGGCTGGCGGACACTGCGTACTTTTTCTGTATCCGCATTAGCTCCACGTCGAGTGCAGTCTTCTGGGTCCTGGTAAAGGGGTCCTCCGTGCGTATGCTGTGTTTTCGCTTATACCACCCAAGCACCTCCCGATTGCCCTTATGATCATCTTCGTTGGGCTCTGCGTAATGAATCAGCCGCTGAAAATTCGGACGCGGAGTGCCCACACCGCAAAGATCTTTAAAATATTCGTAGCTGCTCATCATGGAAATTTCTTGAATCTTAAATGGTTTACTTTTTTGCCAAAAATGTATGCTCTGTTTACCTTTTCAAGTTATATGGAATTGAATTGTTGTATAAACTATTGATTGAAGGAGCAGGGCAATATGATTGAACTTAACGTTCAGATTTACAAATAGGATTGGATTCGATGTGATTTCCATTCCAAGTCAATATAAATACAGTTCTCTTTCCAAAATGGTTTACTCGGATGGTGTACTTAAATACAAACAAATTTAAATTAACAAAAAAAATAGTATTAATCGACTTCCAGACTTTAGTGAAATGTTAACCTATGACTAATTTGATATTGTACTTGGGAGTACAAAAAATAATATACAATCGAATATAAGGGGCCAGTGATGGGATGGTCTAGTAAGAAAGCCTCCTTCGAAATTGGCTCGGTTTCATCGAGGAAAACCTTCTCTTTTGGTTTGCGGAATAAGGCAGTTGATCTGCACGATCACTCCCGCCAGTCGCCGATGATTTGGGAGGAAGGCACCAGTTCAAAGCGGGCGTTGCTTAGATGCGGAGGCACACCAAATCTGGAGTAAGTTCCAGGAATGATCAGCATCACTAAGATGACGAAACGGTTTCTTTTTAGCTTACCTTGGTCGGAAAAAGGGAGCTGGTTGGCTCGAGAGCTTGGTAATGGCCGGATAAGTTGCAGTTGCTTTGGGCTTGATATCCGGTTTAACCTGCTGTCTGACTGGAGCGGTGCCCACATCTACGCTGTCCAGGGTATTTCTTACCACGAACTGCTGCCTGGGCTGGGAATTTGAATGAGACTGGGGATTGGTTCGAGCCACAGGCATGGGCATGAAACGAAACAGGCGGGGAGTGGAATCGTCATGTGGGACGTCATCACTAACAACTGCATCTTCTCCAACATCTCCGCCTCCAGGGGCAACATCACCAGCTCCTACCTCATTTACTCCGCTAGCGGGCGGAGTAAAAACGGCAGCCAGGCGTATAGGCACAAAGGCTGGGAGCCTGACGCTAATGGGTGTTCCGGAAGGCAACTGGGGAATCGGTGGTAGAGCCGGAGCTGGCATTGGAATGGGAATTGGAATTGGGCGCGGTCGAGGAGGCGGCGGTGGAGGAGGAGGTGGCCTTCGTGTGGTGGTCTCCTCTGGAGGCGATGTTGTTGTCGTCGCTGATTCCTGTTCGACCTCTTTCCAGGCCTCCAGCAGGGTCAGGAGCTCATCCTTGCTCATGTGGCCTAGGCCAACGGGGCTGTAAGCCCACTCGCCCGCTCCGAACCCACCGGCAACACTATTCCAACCTAATGGGGGCAGGTGATCTACGTGCTCCAGCGGAGCTTCGTATAGGGATCTTTGGGGACGCGCGAGGGGCAGCTGCTGACCGTCTAGCCCATTCCACAGGATCAGCAGAAGAAGACCAAGTAACGTCGCTCGAGTTGATCCTACCATGACTGACTCTGGATTGTGAAACCTCTGGGCGGAGCAGTCTCTTATATACCTCCCTCCTTCCATCAGAAAGAGGAAGAAGGCCAAGACTAGCAAAACGGAAGTGCACGCATTTGGCAGCGGGTGAGCCAATACACGAGCAAAATGGGGGTTGACTTTGATTATAGATGGATGTAACCTAGTTTTAGCGTTCATCTGAGAACTGATGATATTGCACTTCAGTAGAATGCAAAAAGGCTTGCACATAAATTTAAAATATGCGATACCTAACCATTGTAACAAAATAAAAAGCTTATAAACGAAACTTAAACTTTGAAACCTTGAACATATTTTGAATTATTTTAAATTAAATTGTACTATAATTTCGTATTTCATACAATACTTTTTTTAAGTGCCCAAACGTACTTCCCTCCAAATGCACACGCACCTCCAAGTACCACGGATAGTTTAATTGCCCAGCCTGTAAGTCCCTGCTTGGAGGCCGGTTTCGCGGGCGAACCACTTTTCCTTTTCGGGCCAAAACTGGGATATCTATCAATGGCCACTGCGGGCGAAACCTGTTGGGCCCACTTTGGTCACCGACTTTTGGGCGGTCGCTTGTCGAGGAAGCATCTGAGCAATGCGTTCGTTTCGGGCGCACTTCCTGTATCCGCAGTCGCAGCAGCGATCAAATGGTAACACGTTAAAATAGTAGGTGAAACAAGCTTAAAAAAGCTTTTAAGTTCCTGTGAATATGGCCTAGTAACAAAGACGACAAACTCCATAAAGGTTCTACCATTTAGATTCGAAAATTTCGGATAACCTTTCAGGTTTAAATGCGAATCGATTGAGGATGAAATAACGAGCTCAACGAGGAATGACATTCCCTTTAGCGTATTGTTTTTCGTGGTGTAGTGGCCAAAAAAGCGTAATTGTCAAAAAATCAAGTATACGCCTTCATTACGCATTCATTTGGAAATGGGGAAAAGGATAAAAATTAAGATTTTTAGGTGTGTAAATAAGATTTTGCTGGATTTTTAATTACAAACCTAACCAGGCACAACATTCTACATTTGGTCAACTTTTGGTTCGTTATAAGCCACCGTAGTAGTTCCTGGGCATAAAATCAGGATAGACCAATTTCGCATTTTCGATAAGGGGTCAAAATTTGCGAAAAATGACCCAAATTTGAAATTTGAACCTGTGAAATTTTGATGGAAATCAAATTACGAGCTCAACGAGGTATTACATTCCATATTCGGACCATTATTGGCTAAGTAATGAGTAAAGCACTATAACACTGTTATCAAATTTGAATGTTAGTTTCATAAGAATTAAAATTCAAGCCCAACAAAGTATTAGATTCCATATTTAGCCCACCTTTGGCTTTGTTATGGACAAAATACTGTAATTTTTATGGGGAAATCGGGTCTAATCAAATTTTGATTATTTATTAATTGGTAACATCATTACTTTTTCAGTTTCAGATGCCATTCGATTGGGAATTATTTTATAAACGCATCGGAGGAAGAGTACAAAAATCTCTGGCAACCATATTCGGTCGGATTTTAACTATATTTTAATCGCGATAATATGCAAATATTAAAGCATAAATACTTTTTTGAAAAAAAAAATCGTTTTTGTTTCCAGCTCTAATAGCTGGTATATTTAATGGTATTTTCAAGTAGACCATCAGGGTAGCTGTTTATGGTATATTTTATACTTTTTGGTATATTTCGGTGGTCACACCGGTGACGTGGTTACATTGCAACAAACATTCACAGAAACAGAAACCCCCCAATCCAATCCACCCGCGACGTTGCAACATAGTTTTCATGGTACGATCTAACGTACCAGGTAATAATTTGAGACAGACTCCATACAGGAATCTGGGGAATCGGAGGAAAACTCCAGAAAGCACCGTCTGAGCTGAGAAATCGCTGGAAGACTTGGGACGCCCTGACACAAACTTCCCCCTTGGACCGGATTAAAGCCACATCAGAAATAAGTAGCAGCCAACTGCTAACTGGAGGCGGCGGCAAATTAAAGCCGTGGTTTTGAAACCGAATTTCGCGGATAACCGTAACTAGTATCAACCGGAGCCATGGCGCTGTTGACCATGATTGCCAGAGTCATTGATGGCCTCCCTTTAGTGGGTACCATGCAGGATGACGAACAGGTAAACGCCATTACTTTCTAAACCGTTCCGCTCCCGCAAATTAGCCACTTTCACTTCCAGAGCGGCCGCAGCATACTGGACTATCAAAATCAGGCCAAGATGCTCTTCCGTAAGTTGGGTACCCACTCACCGGCACGGAGCAGCATCGAGACAGGACCCTACCTATTCCAGTGAGTATACAGCAATCTCTGAACTAGGAAGCAAGGAATTTGGCATTCGTAATACAGTTGAAAAAGAGAGCGTCCCTTCAAAGACACCTTTCATATAAACTTTCGGCGAGGATGAGGAGTTTATATAGCTCCGTAAGCTCTATGAACGCCTTGTTCTTAATAAAATTCGTCCACGTAATATGATGAAATGCACCCAAACCTAACCCAGATGATGCAATAAGCAGACTGACTATATCAATGCACTTTCTTTATAGCTACCTAATCGAGAACGATGTGTGCTACCTGGTTATGGTGGACAAGATGTACTCGAAACGACTGGCCTTTAATTACCTTGAGGACCTGGCCCAGGAGTTTCATGCCAACTACGGCCGGCGGGTCAATTCTGTAACAAGACCATATGCATTCATCGAGTTCGACGTGTACATACAGAAGGCGAAAAAACAGTTGACCGATCGCAGACGCAACATCAGCAGCATCAACACGCAACTGCAGGATGTGCAGCGTATCATGGTCCAAAACATCGACGACGTGCTCCAACGTGGCACAGTACTGGCGGGTAACTATTAGATAAGCACTATGACTATGTCCGCTTGCTTTCTATGCTCTCTATTTCTTGCTGTCTAATCGCAATCTGTTTTCCCTTTCAGAACTTGACACCAAGACGCAGAACCTGTCAATGATGTCGCAGAAGTACAAGAAGGACGCCAAGCTGCTCAACCGCAAGTCCATGTACGTGAAAGCGGCGGCCGTGGGCACCATATTCCTAGTGTTCATATTGTACTTCTGGGTCCTGTAATATTTGCCTGCAGCTCCATCCGTGTGTTTGGCCAACGTTGGCCACTTGGAGCGGTGCGTTCTTTGTTATATGTTATATGTCAAGCGTCAAAGACGCAAGGCCTAGAGACATTTAGATAACGCATACACCTGAACTCCAGAATGCACACATACTACACACCCCTATACCATGCATACATATATGATTCATAATCAGGCGAAAAACTGAGAAACAAAACACCTTTTGACACGCGCACCGCTTCCGAGGTTTGTTTAACTTCTAGCATTAACTTACCTTTTGCGTTATTTACGGCCTTGGATTCCATTAACTATTAACTCCCGGCCGCCCTGGCCCGTTTCATTTCGCTTAACGCTCCCTTTGTTTGCGCAGGTTTTCTGCATATTTGATTACGAATAGAGTCTAATTTAGACAACCTTTGAGCCAGGTCGGACGACGACTACGACCCAAATCTGTAAATTATAAACGCCGATCCGCGTATGCGTGTGTGTATGTGTATAAATGTCTAGATTGTAGATGGATCGCTGTGCCGATAGATACTGGCCGCACAGCGAATCAGGCGAGGGTGATTGATACAAACTGCAAAATTATAGCAAGGAAACGAAAAGAATCGGTAACAGTTTTAGGCAATTTATATGTAGTAAAATAAGGCAAATAAATAAATTTACATTGTTTAATAAAAGACAAAAACTGTGCGCTCTACAATACCCATAACCAGAAATTAAAAATCCGTAAACCGTAACCCGCCACCAGAGAGATTCAAAACTACGGGTTATTTTTGGTTTAGTTTTAATTGTTAATTTCCATTATATATATTTCGTTTCACTGGAGTGTGATGTGATACATTCGCCTATATAGTTTATATCCACTTGCAAGCCTTCGTCTTTCGATTCTTCCCAATGAGATGCTTAATTCATTTGTTTAGTTTCTGTTTTCGTTTTCGTTGCGTCTCGGCGCATATAAATTTGTAATATCAAATCTTTACAATTAGGAAAAAATGCGCTGTTACCAGATACACTATTATATTGTTAATTTGGTGTGTATAATTTTGTTAAATATCGAATCCGAATACATATATACGCTCGATCTCTCTTTCTATATATATATATATATATATATATATGAATGCATATGCTTCTGTGGGGATGTGTAAAAAAGTGGGGAATAAATAATTAGAGAGAGTGGAGCTCTGGCGAGTGAGTTTTTGTCAGATATCTCGTTAAAAACTAAAAACGTGGTCTATAAAATCGGTGCTTTGGTTCAAGCGGAAAGCGGTACCAATCGCTGGCGTAACAATAAGTCTAGGTGAAGATGGGGATGCTTAGTTGATGATCCTTGACTGGGCTTGAAAAATCGTTTACAAAATATTTGCTTGTTTTCTCGATTAGTTTCGGCTAATGCTAGTTTCTAGTTGCTTTTGTTTTGTTCTTGGAATCGTTTATACTTTTTCATTTGATTTCTCGTTCTTGGCTCCGACATCTACAAATTCAAAAGGCAGTTTCGCGCATGGAGGGACAATTACAAATTGAGATTCATTACAAAGCATCGAAGAGCGAGAACACTCGAATATATCATTTCTATAGGTGTGTTTGGCATTGTGTTTGCTTGTTTGTTGGTTTCTTGGTTTCTTGGTTAAAATAACAAAAATAAGACGAGAACAATCTAAACATTGAGATTCATGTTCTGTTTACGTTTTACATACCTCATGCATTCTGGGGTACGCTGGCTTAGGACTATTCAAAAAAAATTAAATAGATAAATATATATATTTATATATATGCTTGTTGCTGCTGCTGCTGCTTCCGCTGCTGCCTACAATATAAGTTTAGAGTACGAGAACTTTAGTGTGAGTGGTGCGCAGGGAGAAGGTCCATCTCAGGCCGGGCAGGCCAAGTCGTCTCTCTATCGCTATCCATCTATCCTTATAACTTTTTATCTTTAGGTGAATATTTGTTGCCGCTAGGCTGGTGCATATGTATCCGTTTAGTCGTATATGTCTGTTTATGTGTGATCCTCGTTTATGTACAATGTGTGATCCATGAGCACTAGGATGCACTGGCTCCTATTTCTTTTATCCCTGTGATCCTCTTTCCTGTTATCCTCGATCAATAAGATAACATCGTCCTTTTAGTGTTCCCACGATCAGTAGCTCTACTTGATCCTCTGGTGATCTGGCGTGCTCTTCAGTATATCAGGCTGATGGTGATGGTGGTGCTGCTGATGGTGTCCCGAGCTAAGTGTGCCGGGTTGACTTCCTCCGCCCGTGTGATGGGAACTGCTAAGCGTATGCGAGTGGTTTGAGTTGAGCGTGTGCGTTGCATGCGAATTAAGTGTGTTGTGGGCCGTGGTGGTGGCATTTGTGGAGAAACCGGTGGCGACTGCCGAGCCACCACCCAAAGTCGGACGCTGGGAGGTTCTAAGCGAGCGATGCGATCCATTTCGGGTCAGTGAGTTCATCTGCGGAGTTCCGGGCACAGTGTGACCCAGAGCGTTCATGTAGTCCGCTATGAGCAGCGTTATCTCCAATATCTTGGGCTTACTCATTGCAAAGAGAAGCTTTTGCTCACAGCCTCCGCCGTCATCGTGGGAAACCACCAGCATGAAGTCGTCCTGGCAGCCGCCAAAGGTCATCACAGAGCTATAAGGATACCTGGCCACTGGAGCCATTGTGGAAAGCTCGAGCACATTCAGGGCATCTTCCGCCACCGCCAACCAGGCTACCGGAGTTGTTCCCGTGGTGATATTCGATTCCGAACTCTGTCTGGGCTTAGCCTGGAACAAGCAGGCTCCGAAATATGGCCACTTCCGGCAGCAGGTGAGGTAAATGCGCACACAATCTAATGTGGAGCGACCCTTGAGAAGCATCCATTTCGAGACCAGCAGTTCCTGCACATCCTTCAGCTGCTCGGTACCCAGGGCGTCCCTATAGCGATACGGGTAGAACTTGTCCAGACCCTTCAAGCCTACGCCGACATCCCTAGACTTTTCTAGCGAGTAGTCGCCCATGTCGATCTGGGACATAAGCGAAGCTAGCTCCAAAGCCAGTTCCCTAGACAAAGGGAATCTGCCCTGGACAATCTGAGAATTGGTCTGGTAGCAGAGGAGCAATCGTTCCTTGTCCGTCTCGCACTTGATGGTGTGCTTCCAATATAGGCGGTTCTTGTAGCTCAGTTGGATCACTCGTGAATTCTCGAACTTGCCAGATCCCTTCTCCCGCAGCGCTGTCTCCCACTTGCTGATGACGTCGCACAGCTTGGCTAGCGGCTCTAGGTAGTGCTCCAGATCCTTCTCGATAGGATCGTCGCTAAACAGGCAAAACCCGTTGGTTGCATCCCTCGTGCCCAGCTCGTGAGCCAAAGTGGATTGGAACTCTTCGATGGTAGTGGAGCCGTCGAAAGAAACCACCTATGGAATAAGGGATTTTGTGTGAAAAGCTAAGACTATCTGGTAATAGCCAATAGCACTTACCTGGTAGGTGGTGTTCATCATGTGCACGGGAATAGCATGTGGCAGAGAGTGGTGATACGGATTCTTCAGCAGAATAGACAGCACCTCCATCCGTGAGGGCTTGGTCTCGCGACCTCCGTTTTTCAGGGTCCTCTCCAGAGCCCTTTCACAGTAGGCGGCGTACTTTCCAGTCTCCGTCTTGGTATCTGCATTCCGGGACAAATGGAGCTTGAGGTACCACAGAAGGCGACTCGAGCGTGGGACAAATAGTGACACGGCCAAAGCCAGGAGCTGCCAGCCCTGGACAAAGCTGTAGGCGGGCGGGTTGCTCTTGCAGTCGATAATGGGCGTGGAAGCTGGAGCCTAGGGATAGCATCATTAATTTATCAGTTTGGAAACGACTCGATTCGGATGGGTTAGAGTTACAGTTAGTAGAAGTGAGGTTCGGAAAGTTGTAACTACGTAAGTAACTATGGAAATTGAACGCAACTGGTACAGAGATAGATGGGTTAGAGAGACCATAAATTTCCCCGCATACCTGTATGGATGTGGGCGAACTGCCGTTGGCTTGGGCGTGGCCCGCCTGTTGGGTATCACAGGTGAATAGGCTTTGGGTGGCGCACAACAGTAGTTGCTGTAAATTTCGGGGTCGGTCGGTCGTTCGTACAGTGTTGGAAAATTACACGCGAAACACATTCAACGGAAACGCAACGTTCGAAACGCAACGCAACGCAACAAAAAGATGGAGAAAAGAAGAAGAAGCCAGAAAACATTTTCGGATCAATTTTTCACTCATCATTAGTTAGCAGTGGGATTTTGTTTGTTTTGGTTTTGTGGTTGATGTTGTTTTCTGTTGGCAGTGTTGTGTTACGTTGTACACTTTGTTATGTTCGTTTAGGAAGCGTAATGCGAAGGATAACGAGACATAAGTAGTCGAGACAATGAGTACATTCAAAGCGAATTATAAGTATGTATATATACGAGAATAAGAAATGAGGAAAACTATTCAAACTGTAGAGAAACGTTAACAAAATACAAACACAAGACAGCCCCAGTTGCCAACACTGGCAAAGGCAAGGGACTTATACTGAGCATTAAAAGTATGCGGCTGCTTCGTGAGCTAGTGTTATGTCTGAGCAGTGGTTAGGTGATGTTGATGGTTCAGTGTTCAGTGGTTCATGATGTATTTTGTTAATTAATTTTGTAAAATTTACAGCAATTACTTTATACAATGAGCTGGTTTGGTTTTCTTTCGCTTTGATGATAAGTACATAGTATATAGAGAGGTATACAGTTATGTATTGAAAGCTATATATACATACATAAATACAGAAACATTTTCAACAGTTATGGGGGAAATTTGTTGTCTGTTTGCTACTTAAAGGGAACTCAAAACCAAACAAAAAGAAAACACTTAGAGTAACAATCTATTGTCTAGGTTAAGTTAGATATTTAGTTGGATAGATTAGCATGCGTATATAGATTATAATGTTAGTTGGCTGTGTTTATAGGTATATGTATAGGTATGTTCATATGTTTTACATTATTGTAATGATATTTCGTATAAAGCGTTCGTAAGCTTATTCCTTGAAGCAAAGCTCATTGTGGCTGGTCATGATCGCAAAGAAAAGAATACCAATTTGAGATAAGGGTGGTGACTGTACCTTTAGTACAGTCAGTTTCCCACCTTCTGCGAGGCTCTCTCTCGGGCTGTTTATGCAGATTGTTAGTGAGGGATTTGGGGATTAAAAGTCTACACCAAAAAACAACTAAACATTTCCAGGGGGATGCGGGTTCGGGGAGGGAGCAATTTGGGGGACATAAAAAGCTTTGCAACTAAAAAACTTACGCGCGTTTGCTTGCCCAGCTTCTTGTTTACCTGGACGCCGACACTGAGCTTCTGGCCCATGTGGCGGGAGGTCTGCTTAATCAGGATGCAGATCATCTCCATTTGCAGCTCGGGCATATCCAAAGCATGTTGCAGAGCGTTCTGGGCGAGCACCACGTGGTAGTCGATGCCTGGCTGGTTGACCGCCACCGACATGAACAGCTGAATGCTCTGCGATGATAAGGAACACGTTTGTATTAAGTTTCGAAGGCTTCACAGGCAAGAAAACCCACTCACCTTGAAAAGCTTAATGGCCTCCGGATGCATGGTTTCGGTGTGCATAGATGAGAGCGGGGCCGTGATTGTGTCTTTGGTGTGCAGCAGAATGGGATGGCGCCACAGGACGCAGTCTACACAAAAGAGGGACGATTTTTATAGATTATGCCATTGGCATCTCCGAATGTCAGAACTTACTCGGATCGCCGTCGGTCTCCATGAGCTTCTGGACGAGTTGTTCGTACTGTGTGCCAGCACTTGGGCCGCCGCCAGAAACGACGGTTAGGTGATAGAGCCAGTTATCTCTCTCTGGTTTCCCGGACAGAATCAGGTAGGTTGGTCCCTGGTGTGCCGGGTAGATGGCCACCGTGAGTCTAGCCTGATCCTGGGCGGCGTCCTCGCGCTCCTCTGAGTCAGAATCGGAGACGTGTTCCACTTCCTCAACTCGGGCATCGCGCATATTAATTTGACCCAGGGGATTCTGTTAATCGTAATACATGTGAGAATTAGGAATAGTTTCATATTGGAAAGCCACTGAATCCTTACCGTCTCAGCAGGAGCCTTGAAGTAGAGGAACATCTTGCCCAACAGCACACACCAACACTTCTTGGGATGTCCGTTTTTCACCTTGGTCACCCAACCCTGCACTGTGGGCTTCTGGTCATCGCGACTCAGCAGCAGCTTCGTGGCATTCCTGCGCTGCACGTTCTGCAGTACTCGAATCCAATCGTCCATGGTAGCGTGCGAGTCCGCCGTGAGGTAGTAGACCTTCTTGCCAGTGTCAATCTCAAAGGTTGAGGCTCCCTCTGCCCGATTGATGCGACAGGCCTCATCCAGTTGGATTTGACCCTGTGGCTTCCGCTGCACGTCATGCTGGCTCTTCCAGTAGTTGAGGGATCCGTTCTTCAAAATGAACCAGCGCTTCCGCCAAGTCTTCAACTTGCCACCCAGCTTGGCCAGGTGGCCCATCTGAAACGGGTCAAAGGTAAATGGAAAAACGCTTTTAATGGGCCGATCTCAGTTCACTTACCTTTTCCAACGACTCGATCTTTTTGCTAGGCGAATCCACGTAGGACTGTCGCATCAGTAGCGATGGCATCGAGGCGTCCATGCACGTTGACTCCGATACGGCGTCGGGGGGCAAGGCGTAGTCGTCCGAGAGGCCTGATTCAAAGGAGAGATCTGAAATTACTGTGCCACGTATGTGCTGGAGGGGGTAGGGGGCGTTGCCAGATTGTAGGGCGTGGCAGTGCCGCGTGGGCGTATGGGGGCGTGGCAGCGTTATCTGCCTGCTCGAAGGCGCCAGCGTGTAGGCTCCCAGCTGGTGGTTATGATTTTGGTGTTGGTGGGGCAGTGTGTGGTGTTGGTGGTGCGATTGCGGTTGGAGATGCTGGATGATGTGGCTGGAGTTTGTGGTTGTGGATGTGCATGGTTGGAGGTGTACTGCGGTGGATGGGTTAGAGTTTAATGGCGGTTATTTGGTTATTAGGTTATTAGGTTATTAGGTGGGCGATGGTAGATGGTAGATTGATGGACAGAAGTTGTTAGAATCGCAAGTTGTTAGAGTTCACATTTAATTTCTTGATAGTTTTCAGTGTTGGAGGTAAGGCAGTGCTAGACGGGACTCATCATATCAAATGGGATGGGGTATAGGGGGACTCGATTACAAAGCTTTAATTTGGAATTGAAGGCGTACTCCAGTACGGCACTCAGACTGAGGCAAAAGGATTTAGAAACGAGGAGCTAGTAAGTTAGGAATTAGGATCTCAGAGGTATAAAGTGTTAGTTCGACGTTAGGCAGATTAATATTTGGGACTAAGCTACTCTGGGGCTTCATCAGAAAGGGACTATATGGAACATGGTACATACCACGCGCCTTGGCGTTCTTGGGACTTTCCGAACCACTTCGTTTAGCCGGACTCAAGCTGGAAGAGGTCTTCAGACTCTTCGAGGGGCTGGAAACACTGCCAGAGGTGGAGGTCTCCGTGTTGTCCGTGCTTGAGGAGTTGTGCGAGTGGTGGGTGAGCATCACCGCATGGTCTTCGCCGTCACTGGAGTCGTCGCTTGAATCGCCTGTAAATGGCATCGAACGGATTTGCGAGGCTCGACCCTTAACCGTTGCGTAGACGGGCACGGATATATCACAGAAGCCGCCGCTGGCGGTTTGTTGTTGCCTTGAGGGCGGCAGCGGGGTTCCAGGCGTGCTGCCCAGGGTACCGTGTCCTTCTCCTGTCCCAGATCCATGGCTGTGACCGTGTCGTCGGCCATTGGAAAGATTGGTTCCCGTTCCCTCTGGAATATCTGGCTCCTGACTGGCCGCACTCTCAGCGGTACTCGTTCCCGTTCCCGATCCCGCCAGCCCATCGTTGGCCACTTGGTAGATCTTGGCCTCCCAGCTTGGAAACCGATGCAGCGGTGGCGTCGGTGGCCGTGGCACGCCTAGTTCACTGGTGGTGGTTGTGGTGGTGCTGGAATTCCCACCACTGGCCATCAGAGCCGGATTGTTCTTCATCCAGGCGGGTAGCTTTTCGCAGGATGGCGTGTAAATCTCGGCATAGTCATGGGCTGTATCCGTGTCGGAGCTGTCAGGCCTGGGAACGCCCCCAGCCCCAGTTGGGCATCCTCCGGGAGCTTCGCTAGATATGCTGGACAGTGGAGCGAGGGTTAGGCCATCCACCGCAGCTACCAGGTTTCGTTCCAGTTCCTGGGGCTCCATCGAGAGGTTTCTCCTGTGCTGGTGATGGGGATATGAGCTGGTTAGGGGTCGGCCAATAATCTCCTGGGGGTCTAGGCTTTCGCTTCTCCGCCGATGTTCGGGATTGGATCCGGACCCGGCGAAGTCCTGGACGTCTAGGCTGAGGCTGTTTCGGACAGGACCTACGATACTATGCCGCTGGGACTGATTGGCTATGTGATTCTTGAGCAACTCCAACTGCTGATTGCACTTTACGTTTTGCTCACGCAGTAACTGATTCTGCTCCTCGAGATCGCGGAGCTTGTTGTTTACCCACTCCTTGATCTTGGCGGCCTTGGCTTCGATTTGCCGGGCGTCGTGGAGTCGCAGTTGCCTCTGTTCCTCCACTTGGATCTCCAGAGAAGTTATAGTTTTCTCCGCTTCCTGGGTGGGCGGCGGTGCGCCTGATCCTGCTGCTGTAGATCCGCCTGCCTGATGACTCGGAGAACTATTGCCCCTGGCCTGCTGCTCCTGCGGATGACTGGGCACTGGCTGGTGCTGATGGGAATGCGGATGCTGGGACTGCTGAGGCGGTGGCTTCGGCCACTCACTCAGCCGCTGCTCCATGGCACGCACCTAAAAGATCAAGGAAAAAGAAAAAGGTTACTCAAGTTGCAAACTTTTCACAGCGCAAACTTTTCCAAATTAAATTAAATTCACACTAAGCCACGACAAAGTTCAGGGCAGGGTCATGACCCACGCCAAGGGATTAACTGCTGGTAGTCGAGCAGACTGGCGGAAAGTGGACTCCTACTACTCCTAATACTGTGAGAAAGGGGTATCTTGTTTCTTGGCTATGAGGTCTAAATGTGGCAACACTTTAAGATATCAATATAAAAATTTCTGAAAGCTGCACGACGGTTCAGTGCTCGAAGAGAGCCAGCCAGATTGCGACTTCTCCTTAAGCCAGGGCTCAAGTTCTAGGAGAAACTTGTGTAATTAAGAGGCAACGAAGGCGACAGTTTAACCCTTGACTGCAATGCCACAGAAAAATGCAGCAGCGGCCGTAATGGGAAAGGAGTGAGTCTGGCACATGCCACCGCCCCGGGATATAAGTATTTTTATGGTTACACAACAATTTGCAAGTAATGCAACTGGCACGGAGGACACGAGGAAGTCGGAAGGGGAGACAGGAAAAAATAACTCCATTTGGCACACCAGGAAACCGAACTGACAACTAAACAAAGCCGGAAGTTACATAAGGGCGGGGGGTGGAGACAAGAATTGGGCCAAGGAGTACAAGGAGGTGCATCTGGAGAGGCAATCGAAGCAGGTGGCTGTTCCTCGATAGTAGAGGGCGGAATGTGGGTGTTCCAGGGAGCAGTGGGATAACATAAACGGGAATTGTGTGCTCCAAATGGGTCAATGGTTTAATGTTATCCCGCCGTAGAGGTGTTGAGTTATGGTTAGCAAGGCAGAGAGGCTTTGTTTTAGTGGCTACGATTTGCTAGGTGACTAAGCCGAGGTCCTTGCCACCAGATGGCCGCGGGTTTAAAAATAGATATAGATGTAGGTAGCAACAAAAAGGGTAGAAGCCGAGTCATGTCGCCCACCTGGGTCATCTCTGTATGTCCCCAAGCCCAATCCCAAGCTTTCCTATTACTTTTTCGCTGCTGGCATCCCATTTAAAATGCCAAAGTTTATGCCTGTCATGACATGAGCTGAAGTCACAGGGACTCAGGGAAGAAGCTGAAGGAATTCGCTTACTGCCAATGGAATCCAACGTGTGCACCAGCTGAGATAGATTATAATCGAAGTAGACAAGAGTTAGGGACATGCATAGTCGTTGACTCTGAAAATGCAAGGATAAATTCAGGGAAAAGAGAATGAAGAAACGATAGAGGAAAACTATTGCTAGATCAACTTGCTAAAGTGCTGAAATCTAAAGCGAATCAGCAGCGGAAACTAACAAAGAATAGAACAAATTTCAGGAAAGTTGAGCCATAAAATCGGGCTGTGCCTAAACCGCCAAAACAAAAACTCGAGGCCAAGGGCCCGCTGGCAATGACTTATTTAATGGCCCAAACAGCAAAGTTCAGACTAGGGAAACTCGTGCACTTGCGGCTACTCCGTCTGCTAGCTCTCCTCCCTCTCGCCATAAAATGAATCAAATGAATGGCCTGCATTTAGGCGTGTGAAACTTTGAGCCCCCGAAAACAAACAAAGAACAAATCGGAGGCGGTTCGGAGGGGAGAGCAAGGGGGCTGAGGGCTGAGACAGTAAGTTGACTTTATCTAAATGCGTTTTCTAGATTCGCAGACACAGCTGATTCGAAATCCTTCGGTATCTGAGTCCTGTCAGCCAGACACCCAAATCCAGGCAATTTTCGTTATTGGATTTGCCATTTATAATGGGGGTGGAGCTTTGAGCGATTCCCCTATAGAGTGTGCGAAATAGTGGGGAACTTTCACGGCTTCGAAAATGCTAAGATAAAGTTTTGTTTGACTATAATCTTTACTATTTGGTTGCTTTAATCAAAGCACATTCAACGGTTTATAAGTGTTTTATAATTTAAAACAAGTCACGAATCGTATCTTCAACAGTAAGCTTGACCTTTAAACCAGCCTGGAAAGTTATTTAAAGTTTTTGCCAAGTGTCGCGAACAACAAAGCCAAAGTATAGAGAACACATTCTGTTCTATTGCAGAATGACATTTTTATTGCCAATGCACACAGGGCATAGCCCTAACGAATAGTGCAATGTCTGCCACTTAACATAAATCGCCCCTATTACCGTAAATCCCCGTCAGAAGGAATAAAATACGAAATGTGGAGGAATTCCCGACAATCGATTTTGGCATTCAAATAAAACCCACTCAATGTATTTTGGGAGAAAATAATTGAAAATTTGTTTCATTCTTACTTTCCACTCCAGAATGACAGTACTTTTGGCCATAACTAAGGCAATAGTGGTCAGAATATGGAATGTAATACCTTGGTGAGCTCGTAATTTGATTTCCATCCAAACTGCATCACCATCTTCAAAAGTAAAATCATTGCCATTTTTCTGAAATTTTAATGATGTTACCCCTTACAGAAAATTTCAAATTCACAAAATCATGAAACGAATGATGAGAAAAGTTTGTTTTGGTCGTTAGCTGCTCAAAACTGTCTTTACATTAGCTCTGAGCCTTCTTTTGACCAAGTTGTAGGTATAAAACCGATCAAATCTATGATCATTTTCTGTCGAAACGCATAATCCTGATTTTGGCCCCAAAACAACAAGAATTCTTCCTATAACAAAGCCAATAATTGTCGGAATGTAGAATGTCATACATCGATGAACTCGTAATGAAAAATCCAATCGAACTGTATCCCCACCTCAAAATGTCAAAATTTAGCCGTTTTTCTCAAATTCTGATGATGTTACCCCTTACAGAAAATGCAAAAAATTGTCGAAATTTAAAATTGCCAAAATCAACAAACTAATGATTAGAGAAGTTTGCTGTGGTCGTTAGCTTCACAAAACAGTCTTCTTTTTAGCTCTAAGTCTTGGTTTGACCAAGTTATAGGCATAGAACCGAAGAAAAATAGTCCCATTATCTGCCGAAACTCGTAATCCTGATTGCTGCTCAAAAATATTAAGAATTATTTTCATAACAAAGCCAATAATGGTCGGAATATGGAATGTCATACATCATTAAATTCGTAATTGTAAATGCAGTCGAACTGTGTTCACAGTTTAAAATGTCAAAATTTTGCCATTTTTAGCTATTTTTATGACCTCACCGAAATAGGAAAATTGGTTTCTCCCTATTTCTCTCCCGATATGACCGTATTTTGTCCATAACTCAGCAAATATATATATTTTATAATCCTGATTTTCCCAAAAAAAATCAGTATCCGTATTTCTGCTAGGATAAAGCCAAAAATTGTCGCACTATAACAGGTCACAGCTCGTTGGTTTCGTAACAAAGAAATCTTCAACGTGAAGCTATAAAAAGGGCGAAGAGGGTGGAAAAGGGGGACTAGCAGAAAAATGCGCTCAATAAAGTACATTCAAAAAGCTGGGGACGATAAAGATGACTGAATAAGCGAGCACTTGAATAAAATTTGAATCGAATTTGGGCGGCTAAGAAAATGGGAGAGATTGTCCCTCAATCCCTTCCCTAGAGAACAGCTCTATCCAGGTCCCATCTCTTCTCTCGCTGGCCAAGAATGCATCCTGCTTTTATGACTAAATGAGCAGACGCAATTAAGTGGGGTTGGGTGATCGAAGTGGGGTTTCCCCTGGAACTTAGCAGATGACTAACGGCACTCTGCCATTATGGCCAGACTAAAAAAGAAGAAAAGTGGGAGTGAGAGGTGACTCACTTCATGTTTTGCTGTCTAAAAGAGTTTTGCCAGTGGGTGTCCTCCATAGACCATAAACCATAAAGCCCGATAGTACCACAGAACCTCCTTCTCATAGAGATTAATCTGTTTATAATGAAGACATCTGCGGCGGCTCTTGGAGGAGAAGATAACGATTTCACTATTAATATGAGCTTTAGTTTGTGCTCAAATACAATATTTAGCCATCTTTCCCGGTGAACAAATTTGCTGCCGTTCTCGGGCAATTTGTTATATTATTCAAACAGAGTCCACCCCCTTTTGGCCACTTCCTCCACTATTCTGCCTTTTTCTTCTCCCTTCAGCCACTCATATCAAGCGTCGCATGTTACACACTCACACACACACACACATGCAAGCTGAAAGTCAGGAAAATATATATTTTATTTGCGTTTCTTGTGTTTCTTTGACTTCTTGCACAAACAGCCTCCCGCTCTTCCCTTATCGCACTGCCCCTGCCAGTGCTTCTTCCTCCTCCTGCGACGTTTAATTTGGAGTCATGATTCCATTGTTATTTATAGTCAACAAAGCGGCAGCCGCTTAAGGAAAACAAGAGGAAAAACGGAGGAGTACGGCAGAACCACTCAAGAAAACACTCCATAAAACATTGTTGCCGCCCCTCGTCCGCTCGTTCCCCGAAAAAAAATTGAAAATATCCATCTTCCATCTTCCACCTTCCTCGGCACGCGTCGTCTCCCTCTGCCGCTCTACCGCTCTGCCGCTCTGCTGCTCTCCTGCTCTCCTGCTACCCTCTCTCCAAACTCTTCCCCGGCAGTAGTCCGTCCCAAACTTCTACTTATCTGCTATCTGGTACTCCCCATTCTTAGAACTCCCCCCAATATACATATATATCTGGGGGATATCGTTAACTGCAGCGCTCTCGCATATCTTTATTTCCAGCCATGAAATGCTGGCCCAGACAGAGGGGAATTCGTGCTGGAGGAAGGGAAGCCAGGACGACAAATTGATTTTGAATTTACACAGCTGAAAGGGAGATAATAATAGAGAATATTTCTGGATTTCTAAACGCAATTAAAAAATCCTTTGTTCTATTCGTATTTCCCGTCTGAAACCACTAAGCTAGCTAAGTATCTCGATCCTTCCCCGCTAATCCCCGCCCCATGCCTGCGAGTCCTCTACAGTCCACGCTCAATCCCTTCCTCTCTTAAGCTTCATCCTGCGAAAGGTTAGTCTGCTGTGAGTGATTTTTTCATTACAATCAATGTCAATATTTGCTGCATGTTT